ATTAACTTTGTCCGATATCTTCAGGACAGTCAGTTTACGCTTATTCTCCATTTCACTATATTGACGACATTATGTGTATACGAATAACTTCAAATATTGACTTAAAAAGCACTCAACCACAATCATTATACAAAATGTACTGCACAATTTTCTGTTTTTGCTATAATAAAAATATTCGTGCGCTCGAGATGGCATAAGATGATTCTATTATATATACATTTTTAACGTCAAGAGAAATCATTTTATACTTGGGATTCAGTGGCGCAACTAGGGGTGGGATTTGGGGGTTTTAACCTTTCCCAACCCACCGAAATTTTTCTGAGATTTTACAAATTCTATGTAAGAAAAAAAATGGTTTATCTTGAACATGCGAAACGGCTGATTGATATGAAATATGAAAAAATTCGTATTATAATTAATTACAAAAATAACATGATGAAATGGAACATTTTGTAACGTTCGGTTCAACTTTAAAATATCAATAACCTTGTTACTACGAATTCTCGATAATCGATTGTATAATACTTTTTTTTGTGATATCACAATACAAAATAGAAGTTAAATAGTTTAATTTGTAGTTTAAATATTTTACTCATAAACCTAACTTAATTTTACTTCCTTATCCCCTTCAAACACCTGCAGAAAATGCTTAATTTTTCCAAATTCACAAACATCCCCCTCCACAGAAAAATAGAGAGAAAAATAAAGAATTGTTATAAAAATGAACGTTGAAGGAAAAAGAGGAAGACCAAAAAATAGATGGTTAGATACGATTGAGAATGAAATGAGGGTCATTAGTGTGTTACTAGGGAATGTAGAAAATCGAGACAATCGGAGGTTTAGGACAAGGATGGCCGACCCCAAATAGTTGAAAGAAAGGCGAAGAAGAAGAATGAGTCTTAATATTTAGCATGTTATGATATGATAATATCATGATATAATGGAGTACTTTTAAAGTTAATTAACGAATGATTAAGATTAATTTGTTTGAGTAATTTTATAAATTGATGTAAGTATGGAATAACTATTTTGTAATTATATTTTTTGTTGGATTTAAAGCATGATTTCTTTCGAATTTGATATTGATTATTTAATTTATTTTTGAGTAAATTGTAGGTACTGGTAAATTATAGGTTGGGTCGGTTAACTAGAGTTAAAAAATTAAAAATTTGAAGGAAAATGTATTTATAGTATTCATTGAAAATTAGTTTTACGGTTTGTTCAATGATGTATCTCAATGACAGTTATAGTTAAAATATAATTAATAACTTAATTATAAATTAATTTTTTTCAGTCATACGATCAATCATTAGTTTAATTTATAAATTATTTAATGCAAAAAAATAACAGATTATTGACAATACGCAAGCCAATTCTTTTAAATATCATAATAACACACGCATATAAACGTCATTAATGATAAAAATGAAGCACAATATAAAAAATTAAAATAACAAAAATGATTCTAATGTTTACAAATGAAATGTTATCAAAATAATAAGATTTAAAAGTAATATTTAGTTTTTCTTAGTTTTGATTAGTTTCATTTTTTTTCTCTTTCTTTTTCTCTATGTATTGATAAACTTATATTTTTGTATTTGTGTAACTATATAAATGTAGAGCCATCATAGCTATTAACTAAAGGCTAATAAAAAAAAAAAAAATTAAAAAAAATGTTTCATTTCCTTTCATTTTACATTCTATTCGAAAAAAATGTTATATCATTTAAAGTAATTCAAATTAGTTTAAAACTGAATAAACATTAATTTAAGTAAATATAAAGCAGCACTTAATTATTGGTAGCTTAATGTTTTTTAATGGAAGCTAATAATTTATGTAAAAAGTTTTGAAACACTTCGTTTCGAATATTTATTTTATTATTTTTATCCAGTGAATTATTTTATTTTAAAACCAACTTAAACACATTTATCTTTCAAAATGTATACATATACACAGAATTAAATCTTTTATTTTCCTAAAATATTGGTAATCATTATAAACTCTTATCAATATTCACTATTTGTATTGAAGAATATCAAATGTTTCAATAAAATAAACCAATTATTATCAGTTGAAAACTTATATTATTATGCGAAAACAAAACATAATAGTTCCCTAAGAAAAACAAATTTAAAGTTTTAAACCTTCTATCGAAAATAATTTCTATGCAGTCGTTGGTGTTAAATGATATTTTCAATATTAATAATTCAGATTTTTAATAAAGTTTTCACATTGTTACAGGGTACGAGAATACGATAAATATTATATTAAACATTAACACTCGGTACAAATTACCAGCGTTTTACAACATTGAAGCGGTATAACTTTACCAACGAATATTTAAATCACAGCAGGAGAAAAAAATACATGAATAACAGGACTAAAATAACATTGGTAAGTAACTGATATTTTAATTTTAATAAATTTAAATATTGAAAATTATAAACTACCTACATTCACTACTGTAATTTTATTTTCAATTATTGTTTTTAATAAATTGAGCCATCACTATACGCGCGACAACAATTCAACATTTCTCATTCACGCGTATATGAGCCGAAGTAATGTTTTTATTTCTTCGTTGTATTACCATACAGGCAGACGACATGCAGTGCAATCGGAAAAGCGAAAAAACACATCGTTAACCCCTCAGGAATATACGTTAACAATTTGCGTCAATCGCGTATTTCATAGGATCTCGGCTGTTATCGATGAGACGCAATATTTGTTAAGCGCAATAACACACATTGTCGATGTGCTCCGTCGTGGCATGTATTACCGCATTAAAAAGTAACACCGCGACTATTCTTAATTGTGTGTATGTAAACGGAATGACCGTAGTTATTCAACATTAAAACGCATACATAAATCGATTTAAAATTGTTCGTTTTATAACAAAGCAACATATAATCCGATTCAGTGATATATATAGAATAGAACAAATAATGTAACTCGTTAAATTATCCATAGTTCTAGAAAAATCAGTTTTTTGTAAAAAAAAATAATTTTTAAAAATTTTTGTTTTTTATCATATCAAATCTTTATTTTAAATTTTTAATAATCTAAATATATAATTACGACGTGAAAAAATAAGTTACATTCTTTTAAAGTTATCTATTGCACCCTCTAGAAATCAATCCGACATTTTTAGGTACAATATGTATAAAACGTTAAAGAAAAATAACATAGATAAAATAGATCGATCATTTTATGGATTTAATTACCAATTAAAAAAAACACAACTATTATTTTAAACCAAGGTGGATATATATAGTGGACCAGCTCAAAAAAAAAAGCCCTATAAATCACTTTAGCTATTTTCATCACTAGAGCGCGCTGTTATCAATTGGTGTCCCGTGTAACAAATGAATAATAATATAAAAACTAAGTGATTTGAACATTATTTTACATTATTTTATTTTATTGACGCCAAACAGCAATTTACAAAAAATTTAGATAAGTAGGCACAATAAATTAAGATGAGAAAATGACAGAAAATAATAGAAATTAAACGATTTTAACAATTCTACAACTAAAGAAAATAAGTACAAAAGAAAGCAACCAAAAATTAAAGTTGTTAGTAAACAGGTTATAGAAAAAAAAATTCTTAGATATAAAATTTAATAGGTGACATTACTGATACAAATTATGCGGTTTAAATGCGGTGTAATTAAATGAGTTTAGATATTTTTTTTAATTGCTTTTCAGTATTTTTTTAGCTTCAACATCTTTATTTTTTTGTTTATATGCAAAAATCATTCTTGTTGTCTAGTAAAACTTGGTAATATTTTTGGGAAGTTGAAATTTATGTTCATCACAGCCAACTTTTGGATAGCCACGACTCGTAATTTCATCTAAAACTAAAAAACAAATATACTAATTAATATCATGCGAATTATTAAGGAAAGAATATTGTGTACACTCTTTGACTTATCATTTTTATTTTCGTATACATTATATTGTACACTAGTTTTTTTTCAAACAAATTTCATCTACAGAAATGTGTACATGTCTGTACTGATATAATATTGGAATTAAATATTTTGGCGCTTAGGACCAGTTTTGTCTACTCAGTGAGGTTAGGAAATGGATACTTTTTATTTAAATCAAGTTTTTATTTTGAAAATGAAGTTTTGCAAATTATCGCTTAAAATTTGTGGACAGTACAAAAATATTTGCATATACAAATATGGAGATTTGTTCGTGTACAAAAAAATGTACACATGGAAGTCAACCTGTTAAAATAATAATAATAACACAAAAAATAAAAAAGTACGAACAATTATATTAAATATTTTATTCATGAATATACAAAATAAACGTTAAAACTCAAAAAAATTTAAAATTTCTCGAAATCACCCCCCCTCAAAAATCGCCCCTTAAAGGGTCATAAGTCTTAAATATACATAAATCTCTTCTCTGGTGTAATTAATTATTGTATGCAAAAATTCAAGTAATTCCAGTAAATACACAAATCTCTATACAATATACAAATTACTATACTATACAGTTTCTAGCTGATACGTTTGTGCTACCAATATTTTATAATTGTAAAAACATTTCTTATTTACATTTCTTTTATGATTATGCCAACAAATATTTATAACAATTATTTTAACAAAATTTTAAAATCCTATTACACTCTTAATGATTACTTCTTATTACTATCTATATTTGATATGTATATGTATGTTTTGTATTTAAATTATAATATTAGAATAATACAGGATAATATGCCGAATTTCCGACTGTAGTGTGTGATCACATTGGATTACTTATTATTTTGTAATTTTATATTTATAAAACCCATGACGGAGATGACAATGGTGACACAGCATATTAATAATACAATTTTATAATTTATATGAGTCCAGACCGAAATAAACATAACACATGCATACAGATATATATTGTATAATAAAGTAATAAAAAACAACTATTAAATATGTGTTACTAACGAATTCTTGGCAAATTTACGAATCGGGGCAATTGACTGATTCCTAAAGTTTTCGGGCCTCATTCATCAGATGTTTCATGTGGTTTGCTCGGCTTTGGTATAACGGGTGAGTATGCAGCCACCATTTGGATTCGATGAACCCCTGTTCATCTTTTTGAGCGTCTTTGGCCATGGACATCCACATCTTTGGGTCTTGCGTGATATCCACATAGGCTCCTGCGGCTATCATGAACCCGACTTGGTCAGTCTCCTTCACCCTGCGCCTCGAAAGTGCCATTTTGAGGCCGTACTTGAGCGATAAATAAAGATAACAGGACAAATTGAACGCGACAATCACGGGCAGTAGCGTCCAGGCGACCACGGTGGCCGCTATCTGAAAGACGTCTATCTAAACTCTCCTGGCTCCACTGACGATGGGAGTGGGGCAATGGGACACGGGCCATCTTATGGCTGATGATGATAGCCAATTGATCATCGTTGACCTTGTTCATCAAGCTACATATCCACCTTGTTTCTGACTATGACATAGAGTAATACTCTATGGGATATGATGACACAATACCACAGATACTAACGTTAGTATATATATCTAAGGAACTAAAGTGCTCTAATATATCTGTGCATAATACCAACTATTATAGTAATCATTATTTATTACCATTTAATCATGACTTATCTATTATCTATGGTAAAGTCGACTTGATAACATATTGTTTCTACTTTTAATCATTTTCATTGAGAATTTAAACCAGTAAAGAGCAATTATTTTTATTTCTTATTTATTTACGCCTCTCGTTGCTGCGGAATACTTATAATTCAACATTATTGTTCAACATAAATTACGTGAACATAAAAAATAATTATGATATTAATGAGACGAATTTCCTTACATTTCAAGTTACAACAGAAACTGCGAAAATATTTGGACATATCAATTTAAACAAAACAAAAATTAAGCCTAGTACAAAAAAATACGTTGGCGATTATAAAAATAAAATACGAGTCAAAAAAAGGTTATTGTTGTTTTAATGTTGGGTTACTCAAACATCCATCAGAACAGGTATTTAAATATTTAACTGTCACAAAAAAAGTTCCATAAAACTTACGATTAATGAATTCACTTTGTATGTATGAAATATGTCATATGCACCACCTACGGCTTCAAATTTAATTTGGAAAATAACACGATATATCTACCATGCACGGATGATTTTCGGGAGCTAGCACCCTCAACAAAATTTATAAACCTGAAGTAAAAATTGAGATTGATAATATATATGTAGGTATATTAATAGAAAATAATTATTTTGGAAATGCTTTATATTTATCTTATAATATATATCACGCCATATTACAATATAGAAGTTATTCCGTTTAACACATGACATAAAATAGAACAGTATTCTGTGAATACATTATAGTCAATATAGACATAATATTACTCGTGTCTGTTGAACACCGTCGGTCACTGATAATGATCAATGCTGTTATTTTTTTCTACAAAAACAGATACCCAATTATTTATTACAACGAAAGAAATAATTAAGGCTCTCTGGTTTCCATAGCACTCTCAATAAGCAACTGTTTTGAAGCAAGATTCGAATAATTGAAATTAGTTGTGCAAGTATAAGTGTTGAACTGTGAAAACTAAATAAAGAAAGATTTCTTAAAAAAAAATGAGCAAATTATTTTTGGTTTTTGAAAAATAAAGTATGAATGTAAATTATTATAAGACATAATAATGTCTGTGCATGTTTATGTAAGCAAATTATTGGTGGATACTATGAGGAACTGATTTTATCAGTATCAATGTATTCAATCCATACAAATTTTAAAAACCCATAGATGATAGGTTCGATATTAAATAATAACACGGATACAATAAAAGGCAAACATTTTAAACAATACCAATGACAAATAAAAAATAAACGAAACATAATAATCTATGTATCTTTATATAAAATAATATATCTATGTTTTTTTTACACACCAAAAAGTCATTATAAAGAGTTCATTATATTTGGCTTTGCTATTGTATATTCTGATGCAAATGTTTTCCATTTTACGTTTTAATGTGAGTATATATTACAAATCGAATTTTTCCAACAAATAAAAATATTAAAAGTTTAATCGTTGTACGAAGAGTGATATTCAAAAAAACTGTAACGGTAATTAATAGAATTTGTTTCGGAGACAAAAAAAAGAAAAAAATTCTATTAAAATATACAAAACGCAACATGGGCTGTAACATATGTAAGAATTGCACGATTATTCAAGAAACCGAATCTATCGGTGAAGAGTTTTCGTCTGAATATTTCGACGTGTTGACAGCAAGATCCGACGCCGCAGGGCTAGATCGGTTTTACGATAACCGTTCGAAGTACGTTTTACTTCAAAGTGGAAATCAACCGGATTTAGTGGCACAAGGTCTTGACGAAATCGTACGATCCATCGTTCTAATGAACTATCACAAATCTACGGTGAACATCGAGTCGGTGAATACGATAAAAATTCACTCAAATTGGTTTTTTGTATTGACGGTAGGTAAACTGTTACAATTCGGGGAACAACTTCCGCTCCATTTTATTCAATCCACGATCTTTAAATATGCTCCATCGTCCAGGAAAAGTTTTCGGATTAGAAAAACATTTTTCAAGTTCAACGATGTAATTATCAATGACATTCTCAAACCGGTAACCAAACCGAACGTATTGTCGGTTGTGGAACATCAACCATCGAATCACCGTGTTGAAACACTGAAAGAAAATAGTGTTGATGCTGCAATAAGTCCCGCCGCCGAATTAAAAAAAAATTATGAGTCTACGACAGGACATCAATCTGATAAATCAAAATACGTTTCAGATAAGTCGATCAAAAACAGTAAGATCGAAAATCCGAAAAATTATATTGATCCGATAGCCACAGACGAACCGAGGATGGGTATCGATAAACCAACGGAGGGGCAACAATCCGTTGTACTAAAACACGTTTGTGAGGAGTCGATCAAAAGCGATATCGAACGCCCGGAAAAATTAGTTGAAACCACAATTACGTCCAACCAATCGAAAACGGATCAAAAACCAAGTTTGGTTTTGAAACGCGATTTGGAACAATCGATTGAAAAGCGTCGTAGTATCGAGGACCAAAAACAAAGCGTCAACACCGCGATTTCCACCATCGAATCTAGAGAAAGACGAAAACTCATGACGGAAAAACAGTCTGAAGTGTTAAAACATATTCTTGAGAATCATAAAACCCGAGTAGATGAAAATAAACAAACTATCAGTAGCGTAGGAAAGTCCATCGATTTAAAAATCGAACAGAATTCGACGAAGAGAAAATCATGTACCGTGTGTTCAAAATCTTCCATCGAAGAACCACATGAGGGAAATGTTCCAAAAACTCAACCCATTTCGGCCACGAATATATCTTGTAAAGATTCAATTAAGATGGATATGGAACCAGTCGAGAATTTTCAAGACCCGGTTACGCCTACCAATCTATTGTTCGTCAGTGGATTGTCTCAAAAAGTCAAACACAATGATTTGCGCACTTGTTTCGCTCAATTTGGCCGGGTGTTAAGTGTGTATATTTTTTCAATTACTAACAAGGAATCTTCTTCAAAGCGACAATATTATGGAATTGTGCGATACAAGAACCCCGAAACAGTGGAAGTAGTAGCTAAACTAGGCACAGTTTCGTTAGAGAATGGCAACATTGTGTTTGTAAGGATCATGAAAGAAAATTGAGTTAAAGAAGTCTTCATTTATACTGTGAGCTGTCGTACATACAAGTATTGAAATAATTATGCATATCTGATTTACAAATTGCTTTTGTTTTTTCCCATTTATTTAATTTATTTCTTTATTTTCTTTTATGTATATGTATATAATGTTTTATATTTATCATAACTGTTGATATTATCAATACATAGTAGTTTTGCGATTTTGCACTTTCTTAATATAAATATATAAGTAAACATTCATCCAATTACGTGACATTTTTATTTTATTTTATAAGATTATTTTTCCCGCTTAACAATTATTGTACATTTACATTAAGTTATCAACTATTTTTTATAAATAAAAAACTAATATTATACGAATGAATAAAGATTAGATCAATAGTCTGAACTGCAATATAATATAGTTGTATGTATTACATATAATTATATTATAGTTTTTATCTTAAACCTCAAGAGATATGATTTACAATATTTACGTACATCTTATGCAATACTAGTCTTTGATATATATTACGAATGGCATGTATCACTTCAAGGTTAATATTTTGATATTAATTAAAACTAGCTGAATTACATGACTTTGGACAGAACAGTCTTGACATGTACATAATTTTTAACAGATTAAAGCCTAGTTTAGTGTAACTGTTGTTTATAAAACAAATGAAAAGACATTTCAAATAAATCGGTATAGTAGTTTTGGTAGTGCGCTGAATTACCCAGTTTTTAGTTATGAAACCGTCTTTGTCGGTGCAAATATTTTTTCTTATCCCTTTTTATTGTATGTCTTAAGTATTGGAAAGATCACTATGTAAAATTTCAAGTTCATACATTTTATCGTTTTTGAGGTTTAGCGATCACCGAAGAGTGAGTGGTATATGTATTATTTTATTTATGGCTCAATTACCCGGCGTTACCCGGTAAGAAAATCGTGGGTGTTCAACTCTTTTTGAATGTTACTCACTGTAGACTTTTTAAATGTAATTATCTCGAAATAAGGGTTAAAATAATAATTTTTAATGTTTTGTAATAGGTAAATACTAAATAAAACCGTACATGGCAGGTCTTGCTAAAACTACGGATACACCATCTAACGGAACATAGTTTTACTAACTCGGAAATCTTCGCGGCCATGTGTCCAACCATTCCCAAAAAGTTCCATCGCCATCGGATAAACAGATACTTATGAACGGCACTCTCTTGTCCTGATTTTTTGAACAGTGTTTCTTACGTTGATTTGATTGAAGTTCTCTCGCGACACGTTTGCGTTGTGCTTCTCTGGTACTCCGATTATAGCGGTTAAATTTAATTGGCAGCACTAAAATAAAATAAAAAGCAAACAAATTATACCTAAATGTTTTTGGTAATGCATTTTATTGCTACCAAGGTAACAATAAAATTGTCAATAAATTAACTCCACCGCCATCTGTTTTCTCAAATTCGGCGTTTCCATTCTCTTCGTGTTGTTTTCTAAGTGTAATATATCGGCACAGTGCCATATTTGCAATAATTTTTCAGGGGGAGGGGAAAAATACAAAAATCTCTTACTGTTACA